AAAAAAAACAAGCTTCGGATAGATGTTATAAGAAGGGTTTACATTAGTAGTGACATGCTGATGATCCAAGCGTGTCTCCCTTCTATATCAATATCATAGGTGACAGTTAGTTCTTCCATTATGCAGCAGCTATGGGGTGTATGCTAAGATAAACGATAGCTGCCTATAAGTGCGCACTACGCAAATGTGTGTCAATTACCTATATACCTACCGCCACGCCCCTTTTAAGAATAGCTGCAATAAGACTGCTGGAGTAGGGACTATCACTGATTACTGGACTGATCATGAATACTGAATCTTTTTCGTGTGAACATTCTGAATGACAGTGTATTTACCGCACTTTCTTTTACTTTCTGTGTTTCTAGAGTAAGAATGTAGAAAAGAGTTTTTCAGGATCATGATATCATGAGTTTTTTGATCGTCATTATGTTGCTTCAAAAAATGTAAATTCATATCTAAATGCAATTCGAAATATCACGACCTTAGAATTTGGCATCGTCTAGTTTTTTGCAGCGTAAAATCATCTATGTATGATGTATCAGACGCAATCTACAACGCCGCAAGTAATGGACTATTAAACTTTCTTAGAGCACAGGGTCAATAGATATGAGATTACGACTTGACTTCACGTTTTGTGTTTTAAAAATGAAAATTGCGATAGGTGCTTGAGCAGATGGATTAAACCTTTTCTCAATTGGTGGACCATTAAGGCAGATATTAGCGTACAGAGGTTTGCAGCTACTTCTGAAAATATTCTTGAGAATTTGCCCCTCAAATTGCATTTTCTTGCTGGTGCTACAAAGAATTTGAAAACGTAAAGATATGGCAATTGATATTCGAAGGTGATATAATGTTGAATTCATTGCGTAGTTTTCACATCGAACGTCCATTTTTTTCGACAAATTTTACGCGTAATTTTACAGGAAAACATTATACGCGAAACGGAGCTGTTTTTAGATTTAGCATGCCAATTAACAACATTTTCATGTAAATTTCGGCAAAATGCAAATTTCGAAACAGGTAGTTTGAAATCAAATCGAGTCGATCATGCCGTGCTCGGTCGAGCTTAACGCATTGCCTTTGAGTGGCTTGTGCTTTCACTATAGGAGCGGGGCAATCTGTGCAGCGAATGCGGTTGGCAGCTTGCGCCTGGCAAAAGCTATCGTTCGTCTTGATCGCCGTCCCAGCTAGGGTATTCTCTACTTATATTAGCTGCACTTAGTTTGCGTAATTGTGTTAGATAGTAGTGATACTACTTACAAAGATCGCCAACATATTTGCCAAACAATACCAAAAGTTGATAGAGTTGTCAATTTTACAGAACTTGTCGAGCGTACTGAATAAAATAAATGCGTGCGCATTGTTTTTTCAGCAAATTCCACTAACCCCTCGGCGGCGCTCCAACTACGAGTTATAACAAGTGATCTCACCACAGCAAAATCTGTCCCGTACGATTCCAACAACGAAATACCTGATGCTCTTATGAAGACTAGAAGATTCGATCCTACTGAGGGCAACGCACCGCACTCTGAGGAGCCAATGAAACCTGAAAAACGAGAAGAAACTTCCGCTACAGATGTGACATCAGAACCGGGCAATGATTACGAAAAAACAACAAAACAAATGGACAGCAAAATGGTGGAAGTACCAACATCATCCACTTCACTAATGAAAACAACAGAAGCAGCGATCACAACTACACTAGCAATGACAACAATACTTGAAAAATCCAGAGAAAGCAGCACCATAGAGAAGACATCTAGAACAGCATCACAGAAAGTGACAACAACAAGAATAATACAGGAGCACACGACTCCACCAGCGATATATCAAGAAACAATAAAAAGTACAGCAGCACAAGAGAATGCGGCTACTGGAACAACAAAGAAGGAAACGGGGCGAAGAACCACGACAGAGAAAGAAGCAAGAAGAACACAAATAACGCAGAAAGAGGTTAAAATTACTACTCTTCCACCGATCATTACAACTTCGTTCTACTCAACAATAACCACCAACACTGCATTTATCCCTATACCTTCGCAAGTACCGAAAACGGAGTCTGTCGTAGAGAGACGAACGACACGCGGGCATGAATCAAAAACAATAAAGCATTCTACACCGGACAGCAATTCCACCGAAGAACAAGAGGCTACGAAGGGCGAGGGGTAAGTCTCATTTAGTGGTTACTGTCTATGTACTCGCCTAATGTTTGCATGGCTAATGTTATGCAAAGCCTATGCAGAATCTGGTCATCACCTTTAGGACTGTTCTGAGATTTAGGCTTCTAACAGCGTAATGCAGAACAATATTCTCCCGCAGCATCCGCTTAAATGTGCCTTTCTTTATAGGAAAGGGAGAGCTGTT